AACTCTGGCAGCAAAGAAAAGAAATGCAGTCCTGGCGTTTGAGGGCGTGCACGTATGCGCAGATTGACACAACCGAAGGCTGGTATCACAGAGAATAGAAATTGTCAAATTTTTAACATTAAAATGATTGACATTTGTATCTGATCGTCAAAAAAGTACTTGTCCATATTGAGAGATATTGCTCTGGAACAGCATTCAAAATCAGCCATTTTGAATACATGTATATATATAACATGATGTATAATGAATATATAAAATTTGAATATAATCAGTCAAAGCATTTAAGAGATATGGCTATAGAAGCCCAATCATTAAAACAAAATGGCTGCCAGTCAACCATTTTGAATCCAATCTGAAAAATAAAATGATGTGCATCAGGAACCTGTAATGTCAGTATGTACCAAGTTTGAACAAAATCCATCCATAAATGCCAGAAATGCTTGATATTTGATGATTTTTTTAGCACAAAAATGACCACCATTCGGCCATTTTGAATAGGATCGTCAAACCAATATATCTGTTTATCTATGACATGATGTATAATGAATATTTAAAATTTGAATATAATCAGTGAAAGCAAGTCAGAGATATGGCACGAGAACCACATTCATTAAAACAAAATGGCCGCCAGTCAGCCATTTTGAATCTTATCTGAAAAACAAAATTATTTACATCAAGGTCCCATAATGTCAAATGTATATACCAAGTTTGAACAAAATCCATCTGTAAACAGCTGAGAAGTGGTTGATTTGTAGGATTTTTAAAACAAAAATGGCAGCCATTCAGCCATCTTGAATCAGATCGTGAAACAAATTGATGTGCATATGTATAATATCATGTATGATGTATGTGTGAAGTTTGATTGTGATTGGCCCAGGCATTTCCAAGATACACGCCGGGACGCACGGAGATCAAAACATAAGTCCCCGTTTTCGAACTGCATCCAAACGGGGACTAATAATTAGTATACTGTTGCATTTGCTTATTTCAAGATATTGCTTGACTTGATCATACAAAAACATGCAACCCTTCAGGACAATATGATTTTATTGCAAGAAAATTGCACACTATATTGAGTTGAGAGGGCATTATGATCTTTGCTGATTGTACGTGTCATACATCACATGTAGAGCATCAGGCTTGAATTAACCTTGTCAATATTCTAAAGTGTCTTCATTTGTATACGTCTCTTTGCCTGTAGATACCTTATTCAATGTACACATTGGAATTGCAGCATGGAAAATACTATGTTGGCAAGACAAGACATTTACAGGAACATAAAAAAGGAAAGGGTAGTGCTTATACAAGAAAACACCCAGTAAAGGATTATGTTGAGGTGACGTGACAAATCAACATTTTACATACATGTATGTTCTCGGCAGGGTTATAGCCAGCAAATTTAAAAATGCTTGTCTAAAGATTTTATCAAACTGAAAAATAGCATTTGCTAGTTTATAGCCATAGTCTTTTTTTTTATTATTTATGGTTATTTTCAATTTATGGTAATTTCAATGAAAATTGGACATGATTGTAAAGATTTTGCCAGTCAAATGAAATTATGTAGCTGTCTAAAATATGGCCAACAGGCAGCTGGCTGAAAGCCTTGTTCTTGGCCAGTGTGCCCTCTATTAAACAGGATTGATTTTGTAGGAATCCTTAATCAATAGGCAAGGCATTCTTCAAGAAAAAACAACTTGTGACTGTATAGGTGACTAGAGGCACATTACCTTCATATTTAAACTTGATTTGTTTATAAAATATGAATTTCATTTTCACCAAATTACAAATTTCATAACAAGAGTAGTATGTTTTTCAAGATCACTATATATGTACGATTTTCTGTTTGGTCAAATGACACACCAGTGAAATAGCACAACTAGTTGGGAAAGCCACCGACTCCCAAAATTCGTGAAAAATTAATCTTGCGTTACCACTACCATTACACATTTCAATTTGCTATGTGAATCTGACAATATTGTGGTCATTCATAATGTAATGTAATATTTTGTTTTGTAATCTGCAAAGTAAAACTTCCTTAGCAGAAAGTCATCATGTGGCAGGCAGGGATAGGGTGGAGTTTACAAAATAAGCCTTTGCGTTTTTAGTACGCGTGTTGATTCAAGTGTCAGTCATAACACTGCACATAAAAAATTGTCATACTTTCATTCACATATCCACCTCAATATAAGAAATAGCCACCTGTGTATAAAAAAAAATGTTTAAGTACCTTGGATGTCCATCCTACATTAATTTGACTGCTTGATTTCATGGTTGTCCCAGTGGGCAACCACAAATTGTCATATTTGGTTTGAACACATAAATTTGCAAAGCTTGAAAGATTGATCATTTTCTACCCAATACTTATTCAGGTGAGAGACTTTGATATCGAGGAAGAGGCCACATTCTATGAATGCGAAAAGACCTTGTCCCTAATGGGGGACCACGGTGTTGATAATGTTAGAGGTTCCGCCTGGACAGTTAGATACCTGTCTGCGGAAACGAGAGCAACACTTGACCACATGCTAAAGCATGATAGCAATGCCTGCTACAAATGTGGTAGTAAAGATCATTATAGTAGCAACTGCACCAGTGCACAAAGCTCTACTCACCAATACCAGAAGCCTATACCTACTGGTAAGCCATGGACTATAAACATCGTTCAGGTTGGTTATTATGATCAACTTAAATTACACTTATCACATGGCGACGACCATTGATGACTACCTGTGTTCAACTTAAATTACACTTATCACATGGCGACCATTGAAGACTACCTGTGTTCAACTTAAATTACACTTATCACATGGCGACCATTGATGACTACCCGTGTTCAACTTAAATTACACTTATCACATGGCGACCATTGATGACTACCTGTGTTCAACTTAAATTACACTTATCACATGGCGACCATTGATGACTACCTGTGTTCAACTTAAATTACACTTATCACATGGCGACCATTGATGACTACCTGTGATCAACTTAAATTACACTTATCACATGGTGACCATTGATGACTACCTGTGTTCAACTTAAATTACACTTATCACATGGTGACCATTGATGACTACCTGTGTTCAACTTAAATTACACTTATCACATGGCGACCATTGATGACTACCTGTGTTCAACTTAAATTACACTTATCACATGGCGACCATTGATGACTACCTGTGTTCAACTTAAATTACACTTATCACATGGCGACCATTGATGACTACCTGTGTTCAAAGCCTTGGTTGATAATTTATATGCAAAAAAGTTATAGCTGCAAGAAATGGATTTGAGATGAGAGGTGGGGGGGGGGCAACAACCAATGACCTATACAAGTCATGCCCAGATTACTTGTATTACAGTTTATATTTAAGTAAGGCATGCTCTAATTGGTTAACAATAAAATGATGAGAACTTGTCTGAATAACTTGCATAGGGTAGTAGGTTGGACAATTAAAACTAATCAAAGCCTTGAGCTACATCGTTATCATATTCTATTTTGTAAGCCTTATTGCTCTGGTGATCCAGTGTGCAAGAATCAGATCTACGTGGTGGAAAGCTAATATGATGTTCAAGTTTAAAAACACCAACCATAACCTGGAAACCTATTTCGTGATTGAATAAAAATGTGTCACATGACTTGTTCATCAAAATAGTGGTAAAGTAACATAAATAAGAAAACACAAATTAAGAATCCAAACATTCTGTATTTATCGATAGTTTTAAATTTTCTCTTCTAGATCCTGAATATGGTAGATGTGGACGCAAGGGTCATTCCACTGGAGACTGTTATGCCAAGACCTACAGTGGAGGAACCAATATGAATGCCCGTGGATCACGTACCGGTGCATGCTATAAATGTGGTCGCACAAATCATTGGGCTAAGAATTGTTACGCTAAAACTGATGTACATGGCAATCGTCTGTAAAGATGAAATACTGTCAATTTTATATATATATATAGCCTAATTAAAATATTTATCATAACTTTATGATACTGAAATTAAGATTATAATGTTAAAAAATCTGTTATATATTATGTTGCCAGATATTCTTGTAGTGTCACAAAGTTTAATTATTTAAAACAAACATTGACTGTATATACTATGTGTATTTAGTGATTTCTTCAGTTGATGGAATGATCATCTGACTTCCTTGGATTCAAATTGCAAATGAACACTTATTTACCAAAAAAAAAATGGCTGCTATATGTGTACGTAATGGCTGGATGCATGCCACTGGTGGCGCTGTATAAAATCGAAACCTATTGTGGCTTGCTGTAGCTTATTTAGATTTGAGTGTAAACCACAGAAGCAGTTGTTAAATTTGGTGACTAGTTTAGAATGATAGAAAGTGTTTACAGTCTTCAAATAACCAAAATAGACAGCGTGGGTGTCAAGACCGAATATACGCAATTCCGGCATTTCATAATAAATAATATTCATGAGATATGTCTATGTCATAACCTCATTAAAGGTTATTAGCATATTGTGTTTGCAGTGCGCATGCTTCAGGCTCTTTTTTCGTACTCCACAACACATGCACCATCACTGTGAGGTCAATTGAAATTTACGTTACCTGCAACGTAACGTTCAGCATCGTCAATGGGTTTCACCACATTGATGGTGCTGAACTTTGTCTTCATATTCAAAGCTCACACATAAGCATCACTACCAGATGTATACAACAGCTAACAAGCCACACCAACCCAGCGACTGCTGAGGGTTTGTACACACTCTCACCACGTCGTATGCTGTAATATGCAATTAAAATTCTGGTTTCCCCATAACTCTGGGTTGCTCTGCATATAGAATGGTGCTGATTTCTTCAAGTAAAATACTCCACATCAATCTACATTCATTTTATACAAATAATATGCATCTGGCTTCCCATTCAGAAACTTATTAGACTGAACAGTGAGTAAGAAGATGTTTACTATGACAATGAAATGCACAATTTCACCATATTGCATGCAAATAACAGGTTACCTGGTAAACCAACATTTAATACATATGGGTATGGGTAGTTTTATTCAGTGATGCCTTTTCTGTATTTTGGGAACAATCATAGTACCCCTATCAAAAGTCCCTATCAATAAGCCCACTTAAGCTACCGAATTCGGAAACTAGTATCTACTAGCTTGTGCTAGTTTTTAAGGCTAGTGTCTCTACTGTTGAAGTGGATGCTTTGGTATCTAAATTTGTATTATAGTTGAAGGCATTCAAAAATGTATATACTGTTGATGCCATGGGGAGATATACAATTGGATGAAGTAAAAAGATTCCACTTTCAGTTGCATTGTTTACTGCCAGATGTAACTTTGTTTCCATGGCAATAGCACCAACAGTTAGTGGAAGTCAATTCATTGTGGTCAATTAAAACAATCCGGCAACTGTAAGATCGGAGTTACAGCCAGTGTTCAATTGAAAAAGCAAAGTTCATATTATTTCAAAAGTTTTTTTAAGTTCTATCATCAACTGCCAGTCACTTTTTTGGAGGTCTTCTCGGAACCAGTTTTTCACAGCATCTATAGACTGCCGAGTAATCTGAAAAGAGAACATATATAGAAGCCACTCATTGCAATATACAGGGTTTAGATGAAATAAAACTAATTAAATCGTAGTTAAACTCTGCAAAGCTCCTGTGTCAACACAGAATATATGCAATCATAGTGACAGAACAATGGCAGAAGTTCATCACCAATATACAGCAAATTTGATCAAATCGATTCAGAAGTTTTTGAGATTTTGCCTACACAGACTGAAATGAGACAATATGCAAATTAGCTACTTAATATGCAAGAACATTACATAAAAACTAATCATGTCCCAAGGTACCAAATGTAATCAAAATCCACTCAGAAGTTTTTGCTTACACAGACAGGCATACTAAACTCATTTGCACACATTGGAACTAAATATTTAACTCAGTTTCATTTTTAATTCACTTTAATCTAAGAATGTTAAAAGAAATGCTAAGTTGAACAAGAATGATGTAAGTGAACTTACCTTGCTGACAAGCAGATCTGTGTGATCAAAATGTCTACCAAACATCTTTGGAGCATCGCCAGGGAGAGGCGCTATTTTTATACACACTTCCTGTCCTTTTCTTGCGCTTTCTAGCTGCTTGTGATTCATTTCAACTCCTGTAACTATGCCAACATCTAAAAACTAAATAATAATGTATACTCAATCTTTATCTTATGGTATTCTGTGCTTATGTTGATGACCATTTTTCGTATATTGTGTGATGCGTTCAATCAAACAGGACAAAGTTCATACCGTTACTTTGGATTTGACAAACACAAAAGTATGTTCAATATGCAATATTCTCCTCTCAAAGATTGGCATCAGTTCAAAATCAAATCGTTTGATTTTTGTGGCAGACGTTTAGTCCTTCATGCAATACGTGGGATGTCGCAGAAAATCAACTATTATACAAAGCTACTAATATCAAACACATTATTTTGAAATAATGCAAAGATGTTTTGCTGATGACTGTTTGTGAATTATATTTTAATATATGTAGACAAAAGTAAAAACGCCTACTGTAGATAGAGGGCGTGATTTTGGGTAGACAAGGAGGAGTTAGTAATGGTGGCTGTTTGAATGATGTTATGTAGATTTTTGGTCGTCTTTTGAGCTACAGAGAGGAGAACTTAAGTGATGTCCATTCGTAATTAGGGTCAAGTTGGTGTATAACGGACTTTCTCTGAGTTTATGAAGGAAATCTGCTGTCAAATGGTGAGATTTACCTGGGATGGCCCAACATTGTTTTGTGTGCTGCTAATATTGCGTCATAGATGTCAGCACATTTGAAGTGGGTAATGTAATGTTCTACAGTCGTAGTAGGATCATTTATTTGATCTGTCTGATGTCTGATGATGTTGAAAGTACTGATAGTTGCTGTGAATTTCCTGCGTTGCTGTCTAGTCTGAAGGAGTCTTCCAAACTTTCTGTGAGTAATAAGTCAATGTTATTTGATACGAACGATCTGCAAGGAGTCACGTGACCAACGGTTCGTTGCCATTCTTGTCGATACGTCGTGTGGAAGTATATGAACTTGTGAAAACGAAAGCTAAGTGAAAGTTGAACTGTTAATTGAAGTACAAATTCTTGAACTTGTTTATACTTGTTGATGTGTTAATTTTTACTGTTATTTTATTAATTATTTCTTGTATAAAAAATGGTGTTTTATACTGAACATGTGTGTTGGTCATATTTTGTTGAATTCACGAGCTAGATTAGTTTGTTATTTTTTGTTGTGGATCCAAAGCGTATTGTTTTTGTGAATTGGTCATCTCGTAACAAAGACGCAAAACAAACTCCAAATAAACGATAATGAGACTGAGACTGAGGCTATGATTAGTCTGATATCAAAATCTTCTGCATCATCGTTGCCACCCACATTTACGATTGCACACATTTGCAACTGAGGTGAGAAACCTCAGCTTCACATTTGATTGTAATCTGAACATGTCACAAACATATGTACGGCAATATATGCTCCATTCGTTGGATAATTGTAATAGCTGTCCTGCTGGCTGTAATAGAACAATCAACAATAACATGTTCAGAAAGCAGTTGATAGCTTACTGTGCAATGCCAAGAAGTTTGATCATGTCAGCCCAATCTTTACTCTGGTTTTAACAAGCAGCCTTTCGGCTGAGATAGCTCCGCTGTCAGCAATGTACGTTTCAATTAAAGAACTGAAGATATTAGAAAATGACAAATCTGAAACAGGTCTATCTGAGGTACCTACATGTATAACATCAAAGCGATTGGATTTGCGGTTTTTAACAAGAAGTCAAAAATATCACTTTTTACCAAAAATATTCATCAAAATTGAAGATATTATCACAAAATGAACAAATCTGAGAGAGGTCTGCCCAAGGTACATATACACCAAGTATCAAAGCAATAACAATTGCAATCTGATTAAAATCTGATGTAGTGTACGGGCTTTAATTATTTTGGCTATAAACTTATTTTAATTTTATTTTTTATTATATTTGTTATTGATGCCCTTTTATTTTATTATTTTACTTTGATTTTGAGATTTTTTTTTTTAATTCCGCCCTACCTACATCTGATCCGACGCCTATGTAACGAGATTTCAACGAGACCCACTATCGACGATTTTAGTCAACGAATCACATACCTCCTTCTATAGCGCACATGATGACGTCACCTGGTGGCAAACACACTCAAATAAAATGGTGGGTTATACCGACGTTAGCGACCGTGAATAACACGGCTTTTCGGTAAGTTTATCATTGTCAAATGCAACAAAAGTCATTTTTATGTTAATATTGTGACTCGAATGGTTTTAAATCGTTATTCCGCATAGTTATTCTGGGAGAGTTGATTTTGTTTCCACCGGTTCGACCGAACACCAGTGTCTTTTTCCAGTCGCCTGCCCTGGAGACAGGTGATGTTTTGTTGACGATCGGGCCAAAATCGTCTACGGTATTGAAGCTGTAAATATTCATCAAATTGTATCAACATTTTGTACATTATACAATAACTCTTTATTAAAGTAATTGAGCTGATTTGGACTGGAAAAAAATATTTTTTATTTGGAACACATCGCAATTGATCAGGAAATATTTGTTTGCTCCAATTTTCTGCGTCGATGCCGTGGGCGGGTTGACCGTTGTACAATTTAAAAACAGTTTGCATTGTTTACTATAGCTGTTTACAGTGTTCTAATCATTACGATTTACTTAGTTTTTGCTTCCATTCTAGATAATTATGCTCAGTGATGTAA